TTTCTTCCTCGACATAGACAGAATCCTCTTCTGTTCTCTGAAGCCTGTCTCTTCTAGTAAATGACAATAAAACTAACCCATGTAGAGTGTTGCTATTGGTGGTGAGTTTTCTGTATCCTCATAATGGCTCCAAAAGACTTACCTAACCTCTATTTAGGGCGACAATGAATGGAGGCACAGAGAGCCACATGGTTGGTCCCATGCTGAAACCCAGGTCACCTGATATTTCAGCACCCGCTTTTCCTAACTCTACCTATGCAGCTATGTAGTTGTGTGATGACTTGCCCTCCAGTTGTGGCTGCTACAATGAAGCTTCTATGATACTTTCTAGCTGAGGGAAAGGGGCCTGTCTCATGCATCCTAATGGCAATAGATAGAATCTGTTTCTAACATGTCTTATTCTACAGAATTGAGTGTTCTAAGTGTACTCTGTCTCAGTCAATTCTTAGGAAAGAATTATTATGTGTTCATGTTGTGCATATGTGTGTGAGGTTGCACATGTACATGGAGGCCAGAGGTCAACCTCAGGTATTTTGCTTAGTTCCTCTATGCCTTATCTGAGACAAGTTCTCTCACCGAACCTAGAACTTACCAGTTAACTAGATTGGTTGGCTAGTGAGCTACTTGTCTGCCCCTTTGCCTCCCAGCACTGGGTCAGGCGTGCACACTACTGCATTCTCATTTCTATGTGGGTTCTGGGGATCCAAACTCAGGTCCTCATACTTGTGTAGCAAGCACCTTAGCTGTTGAACCACCTTCCCAATCCTCCGAGAAGGATTATTGCTTCCTGTGCCATTCTATCTGGAAAGCGTTGCCATGCTTCTCCTCTTCACTTTTCTGAGAAGCACTACTTCAGAGTACCCTCCCAAGTTGATATCATCACACACACACATACACACACACACACACACACTCACTCACACACACAGACACACATTTACATACAGACCCACAGATACATACAGACACACATATACACACATACACACAGACATATACACAGACACACATATACACACATACTCACACACAGACATATACACAGACACACAGATACACACACACACACATATACACCCAGACATACACACATATCATCATCCTCATCATCCTCATCATCCTCATCATCCTCATCATTACCACCCGCACGGCCTGCAGGGTCCCCCAGGGTTAGGTAGGCAAACACAAGGTGGCTGGTGGCCTTTCATGGCTTCGTTTCTACTAGTTTGTTGGCCATTTGGCCATTCAACCTTACAAAAACCTCCAGCTCGCTCCTTCACCACAGTTATGAAGCTGCAAAGCCGGGAAGTCAATGTTATGGTTACGAGGTTCACCTCCAGAGATCTATTTAAGCAATGTCCTGTAAGCATCACTGTCCTGTAAGCATCACTGTCCTGTAAGCA